GGCCGACCCCGTGGAGGGGGTTCCACACAACCGGAACCCCAGCACTTCCAGCCCAAAAAGCACAACTATTACCCCCAGCAGCCCCAGCCGTACCCTGCCCAGAGGCCTCCGGGGCCCCGCTACCCCCCCTACACTACACCCCCGCGGATGAGACGGCAGCGCTCAGCCCCTGACCTCAAGGAGAGTGGGGCCGTGTGAGCCCCAGGTCCTGGGCCGAGGGTCTGGCCAGGCCTGTGCAAGGAGGAGCGAGGACGCCTGGGACACTGCTTCCCCAGAGACCCTGGGCAGGGAGGCCCCGAGAGGAGTGAAGGTCCGAGCAGGTGATAGAAGATGAAGGGGTGAGGCCGGAGGCCGATGGAGGGCAGGGCACGGAGTTGCCAGGAGCAAACCAAAGTGGAGGACGAGTGATGGGAAGCCCCTCGGGGCACCCCTTACAGAGGAGGGGGTGTCCCACCAACGCTGCTATGGGTGGGGGTGGAGGGCCGGGGTGCTACATAGCCAGTGTTTGACTTGCTTTTCAAGTTAGGGGTTAGGGTTAGAGCCTGGAGTGAGGCCAGTTCTCCTTCCCCGCCCCCTTCTGTATGTCTGTCTGTGGTGGGTTTCTGTTTCCAGGGAGGTGTGGTGGGATCATGAGTCATTCCCCTTCCCTTCCAGGCCTCCTGCTATATTGGGGGGACCTGTCTGGTTTGGCTGGAGTCCCATGAGGGTATGGGGCCCTTAATAAAGGATAGCAAACAGGGCATTGTGCCTCAGTCATGGAGGGGTGGGGGTGTCATGGAGGCGTGAATGGCAGAGCAAAGGCTCCGCTCGGTGAGGGGTCCCAGGGGTTCCCCGGGCGCTCACCTGCTCCGTGCCCCTCAGAACAGTGGGTCTCCTCGGCAGGCTGCACACTGTTACATTTGCCTCCTTTCATGCACCCAGAGCTTCCGGCTCTGCCTCTCCCATCCCGCCCCTGCTCCCCCTCCCTGGACAACGGCTGGGTGTTGCCAAGAGGAGGTGGAGGAACAGCTGCCCACCGATGCCCAGCTAGCTGCTCCCTCCGGACAAGACCCGGGTGGGTTTGGGGAAGTGCTGTACTCTCCCATGGCACCACCCAAATCGCCACCCAAACCAAACTCCTTGCCATCGAGCTGCTGTCCCTTGTAGCAGCCTGTAGGACAGGGCAGTTTCCAAGACTAACTGTTAACGGGAGTAGAAAGCCCTGTCTTTCTCCTGAGAAGCGGCTGGTGGTTCCAAACTGCTGACCTTACAGAGTGCAGCCAATGTGTAACCGCTATGCCACCAGGGCTCCCTGTCAAACAGCCACGGTTTCTCCAAGCTCTGTCTTGTCTTTGTTAACATGATCGCCTTCCCATCTCACCGCGTGACCTGCCTTTCGGCAGGGTCGATTAAGAATCCAAGTAGGATTTCTTTTGTCTTAAGACTCTTCAATAGGGATACTGCCTGTGTATTTTAATGCTCTGTCTAGGATCTACAAGCCCATGGCAGGCCACCTTGCGTAGGCTTGGCAGGCTAGAGGAATCCCTGGGTTTCCTGCCTGATCTCAGCTGCCGCTCTACCGCTTCCTAATTCCAGCAGTGAGGTGTCTGGATGCAGCCAAACCACAGCTCTGGGCAAGGCGAGAGCAGGTGGCCTCTTGGTTTCCACACCCCGATGCCGTTACCTTTTCCTTGGCACCCTTTTCACACCTTTTCCTTGGCACTTGGCACTGCCAGGTCTTCAGGGACTTGTCAGCAGTGACCGAGATTGGGAATGTAATAGATAGTTTGGCGAATGCTCACTTGGGCGGTTTATACTCGGGTTGAGGAGACTTACTTAAATGGGAACAAGAAAATGACAAACTCAAAGCAAGCTGAGCGGTGCAGACAGGGCAGGGGGGCCTCGCTGGGAAAGGTGGCTCCCTGTTTTGAAACACAGCCCAATTGTTTTTCCCTAAAGACTCTGCCTTTTGAAATAGCCATTGTCTATCATTTTTATCCACTTGTCCAGCCATCTAAATCAACCTTTACCATGCTTACGGGCTTCATTTGTAGGAGCATAGAGATTACACCCAGGGCTGCTAACCAAAAGGTTAGCAGTTTGAAACTGCAAGCTGCTCCTAGGAAGAAAGACGAGACTTTCTTTTTTTTTTTTGAAGCTTTATACTATCATAAAGAGTTACAGCCTTGGGGTCCTACCATGTCCTCTAGGATTGCTATGAGAATGAACTTGATGGCAGAGGGGTTTTTGGATGGGCCTTGTTTAGTCTTTAGTATTCATTGATCTATCCTGAGCTGCATGTAATCATGGCACTAGCATTCTGTATGCATACTATTTAATTCCTGAAAGTAACCCTGTACAATAAGTTTAAACGGTGGTCTTATCTCCCTGTTTTTCAAATGGGAACGCTGAGGTTTCAGTAGATAATGAGCTGCTTAAGGCCACACAGATCTAAGAGCAAAGTTAAGATTCCAACCCAGGTCAGCCAACCAAAGCACAGGCTCCATCTCACCTCCAGGGCTGCCAGAAACCTCATTGCCACCCTCCACGTGGGGCCTGTCCAAGTATTTCAGACAAGGTTGCCCACCACCACCACCCCACCCCATTTCTGAGCTCTCCCAAGTTGCCCTGTAAAGTAGTGATAGTCACTATTTTGTGGGTCTCCTTTAGACTCCCAAACAGAAGCCACCCAGTAAGCAGGCCAGTTTTCTAGCGCGCTCCATTGCACATGCCCAGAATTTCACCTTTGTTTGCTTCCTTGGAGATTCACGTTTCTGAAACCTCTCTCTTTGGAAGCCTTCTTCCTTTGTTCTGTATTCAGACATTTAAAAACTTCTGTCACCCAGAGTTTTTCTACCTTGATTTTGAGTACATTTGGGAATCCCAGTACTTTTTGATTCCTCCCCTGGTGGTGTCTTTAAATAACCTCTCAGAGCCATGGCTTCTAATTGGACAGGCTGTCCTGCTAGGCATTAAGTATCCTTTAGGTGCACAGTGGGGAGGTCTGACTTACCCTTCTCAAAGATCTACCAGCTCCTGATGAATCTCAGTGTTCTACCCTGAGGTCCTCATCCAGGGTCAGTAGATCTTTAGGGAATATATCATGAGGTAGGCTGTCTCCAAGTCATACAGAGTTCTCACAAATTCTCCCCATGTCCCTGGGACTCTGCTCCCTCATGACTGACATCTCTGCTATCTAACCAAATGCAGCTAGTGTCGCCACCTCTCTTCAGGCTGGAGGTCAGCAGCCTCCACCTCATTAGACAAGTTCTTAGCACATACTTCTGTCTCTTGAGAGGCAAGAGGAGTTGGCATCATCTGGAGAATATCAAGGTCTGGTCACTCGATGAGTGTTACAGAAACGCTTTCATTCCTAAACAATTCTATGATTTTGGGGGAGCCTAATAAGGCTGTCTGTTCTCATAAAGATGTACAGTGAACCCTCGTTTATCGCGGTTAATCGGTTCTAGACCCTACGGTGATAAATGAAATTCCGCGAAGTGGGATTCCTTATTTGTAAATCAAATATTTTCGTAGTTAGAGCATAGAGGACATGAAAAAACACCCTTTAGTCACCATTACACTCGTATTACTCAATTTATTAACCGAAAATGGGAAAATACAGTAAAACATTTTGAACGTTACAATTATCATTTATTATATTATTTATGGCATCAAGCGTGTACAGTATGAGCCAATCAGTGGCAGTAATGACAGAGCATGCGCTGTTACACAAAAACCGCGATAGAGTGAAGCCACGCGAAGTGGCAAGGGTTCACTGTACTGTCTTGGAAACCCTAAGGAGCAGATTTCTCTGGCCTGTAGGGCCTGAGTCGGCATCGACCCCATGGCGGTGAGTTAGGGGCTGACATTAAACTGTGATGTTCCTGAAAGCTTTATGAATAAAACTTTCCATCTCAGCTCCTCCCATTCCTTCCCCTCTCTTCCACCCTCTTTAATCCATCGACAAATGAACGAACGCCAACCCTATTGCCTTTGAGTCGATTCTGACTCACGGCGATCCCATGTGTATGCCACAGGGTAGCACTGCTCCATAGGGTTCCCTTGGCTGAGGATTTTACAGACAGGCCTTGGGTTCAAAACGCCAGCCTTTAGGTTGCAACCTTAGAGTGCAAATCCAGGAGCCATATAGGATAGGGCAGAACTGCCCTTGTGGGTTTCCAAGACTAACACCTGGTAACAGCAGTAGAAAACCTCATCTTTTTCCCAAGTAGTGACTGATGGTTTTGAACTTCTGAACTTTCAGGTAGCAGCCCAACTTGTAACCCTTGTGTCATCGGGGCTCCCTGAAGGAGGAGGAATACGTTTTCAGAGACCTGGGAAGGCCTTGTTCTGGGTTGCTTAAGTTCCCAGGCTATCGTGAGATTCTTGCCTGTCTACACCCACTGGACAGCCTGGACAGTTGTCATGCTTTGCATTCGTAGTGCAGGAGTGAACCTGGCTGCCAGCCACAGGGAACCTCCTTCACGGTCTGTTAAAGCTCCCTTGAAAGTGACACAGAAGCTGTCCTGAGCCTTCTTGCAGAGTCTTGTCAGCCCCAGAGGCCTCTCTTTTCTTTCTCTCAATACAGAGCCCCGTTCCCAGCAGCTTAGGGCTTTCTTTAATCAGCGCAGGGACCCAGTTTCCAGCCTTGTCATTAGGCGCATTACTCTGGCTAAGTCCTCTCCCCTGGGTCTCAATCGTCTTAAGTAAATAGATAGGACTAATACAATTGAATGCTATAGTACAGGTACAGGGCCTAGCACATGTTAGGGGCTCAAGGGTCGTACCTTCCCGGTTTCCTCCCTGCAAACTAGAATTGAAGCCTCCGGTAAAGAAGGGAGCTGCTGCAAAACGCGGTCCATCACAAATGGTTCCTTCTGGGCAAGGCCCGCACCCTCTAAACTTCCTCCCCAAACGCGGTTGTTTCACTATTGTCCGCCAGGGGGAGAAAAGGCGCTTGTTCTCCAGAAAAATAGCTTTTGCGCGACCACAGTCTAGGGTGAGCGCGCCCGTGCGCGCCTCCGAGATCGTGCGCGCTCAGGTCTTCGGTAGCTGGGCGCGAGGAGGCGCATGCGCAGGAAGCTGGGCGGCGCACGCGGCTACCCTTTTCTGGGAACAAGTGGAGCGCGGCAGGGTGCCTCCCCGGATTGGAATGGCACAGGCTTTTGGCCCTGCTCCCGCTGTTGCCTAGTTTGGCCAGGGGGACCGACTTTCATCGTCGGTTTCCAGGTCACCATTTTCCTAATGTGTGTGCTTTTGAGTTTGATTTTTAAAGGGAAGAGACGGAGCATTTGCATTGAGCCACTTATAAAAGCGAAACGTGGAGCAACCTTACAGGAAACGATGTGCCTATGGAGAGGGGTTTGCTTTGTTTGAAATCTAGCAAACGCAGCGAAGAAGAATGACGAAGATGGAAGTAATCTACATTTCTCATACTCCAATGCATCCATAAGGAGCCCTGGTGGCGCTGTGGGATCTGCCTTGGGCTGAGAACCGCTGACGCAGCGGTTCAAACCTACCAGCCCCTCCACGCAAGAAAGATGAGGCTGTCTGCTCCATAAAGATTTATAGTCTTGGAAACCTTAAGGAGCAGTCCTACCCTGTACCGTAGGGTCGCTGTGAGCCAGAACTCACTCCAGAACGTTTTGTTTTGTTTTCACTTTTTATTGTGAATCAGGTGGGCGTTATATATCAGATCCTCATGTTGGCATTCAACAACTTAAACAATTTATCAAACTTCTCAATGGCTTGTCTTGCC